AAATCTTTTAAAACATATTTTGTCATGAATATTTTAAAATGTTAATTTAGTTGAATTTATCAATTTCTTTTGAGAAAGCTTTCAGTTTTTTGTAATATTTTAAAATGCTTCTCTCTGAATATATGCATGTATATATTATACATGTCCTCCCATTTTCTTAAATTTGTTTTAAAAATCTATTTTATCATTTGGAATTACTTTGGTAGGAGGTATGAAGTAGAGATTCCAACTTTATTTGATTGGTTGACTGATTTTGAGACAGGACCTCACTGTGTAGCCCTGTCTGGCCTGGAACTTGCTATATAGACCAGACTGACCTTGAATTTACTGCAGTGCCCCCTATTTCTGCCTCTCAAGTGCTGGATTGCAGGTTGTAGGTATGCACCATTAAACTCAGTGCTCTTTCCCTTCCACTTGTCCTCTCTCCCTCTCTTCCTCCCACCTTCCTTCATATGGTAATCTGGTTGTCTCAAAATGAAGTTCTTATTTCTTCCTGTGATCTGAAATGCTTACGTAAGAGTCTATTTGCCTGGCTCCATTCCTGACCTTGAACTCTGTGGGCTTATGCTTAAGTACCACACTGCTTTTAGTAGCAGAGCTTGAAGGGCCCAGCTCCCTGCTTTGGCAGCCATGACAGGCTGCAGAAAAGACCCAGAAAGACATAGACCCCTGACTCAGCACATGTTGAGCTCCCAACCTTGCCCTAATCGCTAGGAAGCCAGATGCCCTTCATGTGGCAAGGAACCAATCAGAAGTTAGCAGGCAGGCTCTGGATGTGCTTTATTGATAATACCACTATTATCAGTTGCTATGCAGGGTGAAGCAACTGCCCTGGGATGGTTTCTAGGCACAGCAACCTTTCTGCAGCTGCAGCTGACCAACCAATCAGTTCAGGACAGGCTTCCCAAGTCCGGAGGTGCACCTATCCTGAGACTGTTGCTATGCAACTGGTGAACCCCCAGACACTCCAATATATGTCCTGCCCCACCACCGCTCAGGGTCCCTCCTGCTCCACCCACTGTGTCAGATGGACGGAGGACCAGAGTTAATGCTTTTGCATTGGATCTGGTCTCTTGGTGGTTTTGAAGGTTCAGAGTATGGGCACAATAAGCTTTCCTATCTAGGGTCCTTGGGGGTTAGGTGGCCCACCCATGATATTTTTTTCTACTTCTAGTTTGTATTTTATTTTCAGAGTTCGCTTGTGTAGCTTCCTCCATCTACTGACTCTAGACAATTTGTTATTTTTAGAGAGCATGCTGGATTGGTAGATTATCTTCGGAGGGAACTGAAGGTTCTATGACACCTTATTCTCCTGCAGAAGAAAGGGCATGTTTCTTTTAGTAGCATCGGCAGATGTCCCTAACATGGGTCTCATATATTTTCCTGCACCCCTTCATATTTGCTGCCATTCTCCCATCTCAGTCCTATCTTCTGTCTGGTTGTATTTTTTAATGAAGGTTTTGATGATACTGGGGATGGAGCCTAGGGTTTCAAGCATGCAAAGCAAGTGGACCCTAGTTTCTTACGTTAGTTTCATATCTAGCTGTCCTATGGAATCCTCTTATGGAAGAGTGTTCAGCCGATTTCTAGGTAAGTCATCTGCAGATGGCAGTAGTTTTTACCTCCTACTTACTAATTAGTTTTTAACCTTCTCTCTCTTTCTGACCTAGAGGGAATGCTTTTAGTAATTTCCTTCATAAACATGATGTCCATAAAGATTTCTTCCCAAAAATTCATTTTCAAGTCCTACCTAAAATGACCTTTGTTCCATTGCCAGTCATGAGTGTGCCAGGATTCCCAGTCTTTTCTAGGAAAGGGTAAAGAATGATAGGGTTCGATCTAGGTAGTCCTTCTTTACTTTAAACATCATTTTCTACTGGCTTTCACTCGGCTGCTCTCCACCACTACTGAGAAGGAGACAGTGTCCTTCATTCAGGAAGCAGCCCTGTGGCCTGCTGAGCGGGGCTCTTCCATCTCTGCTAGATGGCTCAGGAGCCTAAGGAATAATTGTGCTGCTGTTGGAGAGATGAGCAGGTGAGAGTCCCTGGAGCACCCACTGGGCTCAGCATCCTGAGTCTAGCTCCAGGTTACCAGCAGTTGTCAATTCACTGCCATGCCAGAATCCCCATCTTGCCTCATCATCTACTCAGTCGTTTCCATTCTCCATGGTTCTTATAAAAAGAAATCCCACACTCGAGGACCCAAAGTGAGACCATTTGAGCCATTTCTTATTATCCTTTGAATTCTATTACTGGTTCTAGACTTTTAGTCGGTATCACTTTTCTTACTGGTATAACCCCATCCTTACTTCCACTGAGACAATATCTAACATGCCAAGACTCGAACTCAGGATTCTCCTATCTTAGCCTGCTGAATATTGATATTTTTAAATGTGTGTCGCCATGCTCAGCTTGCATCCCATATTATCTAAGGCAAACAATTTACGGTGGTTCCAGGTGCTCCCTGTCACTTACTTCAGTTTGCATGTTCTGTGAACTTAGATTCTACTGTAGTAGGTCAAGTTCCATGTGGATTCAGTGGAAATCCTGACAAGCTTTTGGTTTTGGTTTTGAGGTAATAATGAAGTCATAAGTTATGCAAGGGAGTAGTAAACAGCCGTGGCTGAGATGAAAACTTAACTGACATCTAAGTAAGTAAGGAGACAGGGCAAAGCATGTTTGTGTCTGACCTTTGTCCTGGTGCTTGAGCAGAAGACGGTGACTTTTGACAGTAAAAGCCACCACATTTACTCTTCCATCTTCTGTGTTTATGCTTGGTGCTTGTGTTTTGCAGACAGGGTGAGGGCCTTCTGCACATCTGTGTGGCCATCTCATGTGCTCAGGGCAGGGCAGGGTGCTGAGGTTTGATTTCAGCACCATATAGTCTTTGTACTTTGCCCAAGTGATGGCACATGGTATGAAGTTAATTGCATACGTGGCATTTGCTCTCCTCGACAGATTTCCGAAAACATTCTTGACATATAGCAACCATGCCACTACAAAATGAGGCTGCTTTTTATGTGTAGTCTCTAGAGCTGAAGCTTCCTCGCCTTCCCCTGCCCCTTCCCCCTCAGGATCCAGGGTGACAGGTCCTGTGAAAATGATAAGTGATCAATCTGAAGTTATTTAGTAAGCAAATGAAGTGTAAGATTCAGTTCATGCTGAGTGTGTGTATTAAAACAATAATTTTATTACTGATTGTTATCTGTGTTTATTTAAAACATTCCTTTGGCTGTCAACTTAAATAAGACAAGCAATGCATCTGCCCCAGACTAATAATCTAAAATATTAGCTGGGAATTACACTTGCCACTGTAGAACATGTGTTTTCACTAATTAACTGTAGCACAGCTAGTCATTAATGGTCAAATGGCTCAATTTCACCCCTCCTTTCTCAGCATAGCTAAATATACTGCTCTCTGGAGCCCCGAGGGGTAGTAGGTCCAGAAATAACAACCAGTATCATTTGAGAAGTGTGTGCTGACCTTTTCCAGGCACTGACCAGCAGAATTGCAGAACCAACCCTGCTCCCTACCCCCACCCTCCCAAGGCCCATACTGTGAGTTTTGTATTTGCAGTCATGGGGTGGGGACAGGATTGCATTCCATACAATTTTTTTTTTCTTGAAGACATGTTAGGCTTCAGATGTCTTAGCCTAGAATCTTAGCATCCTTAATCTTAGCACTTAGGAGGCAGCAGCCAGGAGGATTGTGAATTGGTTTGAGGCCAGCTGGGGCTGTGTAAGTGGCACTTAGTCTACAGAGAAAGACCTGAGGATACAGCTTAGCTTAGTGGTTAGAGCACAGGCATGGAGCCCTAGGTTCAACCCCCAACACAATAATCTAAAGTATATTGTTTTCTTAATCCACAATGTATTTTATCTTTTTTCTGCTTCTCCATGTAATTATTCTCTACAGCAGGTATCAAGGAGAGAAATTTGTAGAAATCCCCTGGGGGAAAATCATGGTTTAATGCCTTTGTAGCGCATTTCATTAATAAAAACAGCAACAAACTCCATGGTCCCAGAGTGAGCTAGAACAGGGTGTTTTTCCTGACCACTCAGAGCATGACCTCCAGGAAAAGAACTCCACTCCAGCAGCCAGGCTAACAGTAATTCCATCAGCAAGTAGGCCACCTTGCAAGTCTCCAAGCAGCTCCCAGTGCGTTCTGAAGGAGAGAGGCCAGTGGGCTTGTATCCACACTCTAGTCCAGGGTATCACCCAGAGTAGAGCCTGGGAAAGAAGCCCACTCCAGCTCCTTGGCAAGTCCAGAGAGCCCCACCTTCAAACTCAGCAAGTTCTCCTCTGTTTGGATGGCTGGGCTACCACAGTTCACTTGCAGGCCAATGCCATGTAGGTGCACTTTCCCTTTAAATGGGCAATTTAGGAATAATAGCAGCTTTGAGGACTTTGGGGGGTGGCAATTAGAATTCTCTTTTCTTGCCAAGATTATGTTTCTTTGGAAAGATACTGTTTGCTTTGAAGAGCTGTATTCTTGCTAACCTTAGTGGCACTGGAGCGGCCAGGTACAAGATCATCATACGCCCTGAGGTTTTCACAGTTCGGATCCGTTGATGAGATAATTGGGATGCTTTGTGTTGTAAACAGACTTCACAGCATCTCACTCCAAAGCTGTCACCTCATCCAAAATCAATTAAGAAAATAACATGTTCTTGGGGCTCATTAACCACAGGATCACTAGTATTCTTTTTTTTTTTCTGAAGTTTTTCAAAATGGTGTCTGTTTTGTACTGAGGAATATTCTAGAAGGTATATACTGAACAAAAGGTGATTGAAAATAGAAATAATTCAGCAAAGTCATCTTGGTGGACAATGGCGATTTTTCTATTTTTTCTTTCCTTTTTTTTAAAAGTCTTGCTAGCCCATTAATTAGAAAGGAAGAAAATGAGTTATTTGTTGATAATGAAATATGTCCATTCTCTACAGAAGGGAAGTATTAATCACATGACATCATATTCAAAATTATCTTCCTTTTGTGTTTAGATCTTTCTCTGGAATTAAAGGTCTCCAGCTGAAAGTTAACCTCCAACCCAATGACAATTACTTCTTCTATGTGAGAGCCATCAATGCATTCGGGACAAGTGAGCAGAGTGAAGCTGCTCTCATCTCCACCAGAGGTACTTTCTGCTTAGCACAGAGTTGGGATGTCTGGGTGTCTGCATGCCTCCCCTTCTGCCATGCAGAGGAGACCCCTAAGGCAGCTTCACAAAGTTCCAGCCTGCTGTCAGTGAGAGGACTTGTCATGAGGTCCCATTGATCCAGCGTCAGGATGATTCTTTTATTTGTGTTCTTCAGAGGGTCTGAAGATTTGCTGTGCTTAGCAACACTGATCCCCTCGTCTCACTCCGGAGAAATGGATGTGTTTGATCTGGGGATGGGTTGGAGCATTCGTGGTCTTAGAAATCTTCGCAGATGCTTTGTGATTCACTCAGCACGCACTGTAATTTATAGGCGTGGGTTGTGTGTAACGGTTTTCTCATTCTGTTATCCTTTGAACTCTGTGACAGGTTTCCAGTTTTGTTCTTCTTACCCTAGTTTGTGCTAATTAATGTTTGTCAGATGAGTGAAACAACAAATGGACGAACAAATGAAAAATTCAAATAGGTGATAACATTTGGGGAGACATCCTCAGAGAACGCTAACCAAAAACATTTGGCAGCTTTCAATTATGAGGAATGAAGGATAGCAAGATGGACATTCTTCTGCCTTATCCCAGGTCTGCGCTGGCACAGGATGAGGGGGCACGTTAAGTCACGGCGCTCTGCCCTGTTTGCGATGTTGCTAGGGCCTGCCAGAGTTGGAGGAAAAGATGGGAGAGCTGAGTATCCAGGAATGTTTTCCCACCATCTCAGTACACTGCTTGCACCATCCATCTTTGGAGCCTCTGTGGGCTATTCTAATCTGCCCCCATTTTAAAGCACACTCAGATCTTTGAGCATTTTGTCCGAGTAGGTACTCAAATTCAATAGGTCCAGGGTAGGGTCTTCCTTTCCAGGTGATGTGGATACTACAAGGAGCACACGTGGCCTGGCATAGACCCCACCTGCAGCAGCAGGTGGGAGTGACCAGCCCAGGTCGTCCATTCACACCTGCTCATGAATGGAGTGTCATTTGTGGACTGAAAGTACAAAGTCAGGACTTTTGACTTCAGGAGAACGGGAGCCCACGCTTGACATGTATGGGTTGGCCTAGTGCTTGGCATTGTGACAATGCTGTCATCTTATTTTCTTTCCATAGGAACTAGATTTCTCTTATTGAGAGAAACAGCTCACCCAGCTCTCCAGATTTCCTCGAACGGGACCGTGATCAGCTTCTCAGAGAGGAGACGGCTGACGGAGTAAGTAGAAGCAGCTGGGCTGATGCTCAGCCGTGCAGATCAGTTTCCCCAGTACCTTATCAACTGCGCGAATTCTCGCTTCAATGAGTTTGCTCAGTTATGCTACAGATATACGTGCAGTGAGCACTGTTCACCCACTGGAAGCCGTGTCAACATTTTTATTGGGACCGTGAGCGCAGATGGCCTTGGTTGAGACACTGGCTGCTTTAAGGTGTTACCTCTGGTTCAGTGAGAATCAGAACCCTGTAATGACTTAGTTTTCAGTCAACCCAGGTGTGCACCACTTGGATAGGGATGGTTTCTTGAGTTCTTAGTTCTGGCCACAGAATCTTGTCCTCCAGCAGCTCCCACAAAAGGCAGTGACATCAAAGAAAACAGGAACCAAAAGCTTGGCATGGGTAGGAGACCGCCTGGCATTCACCTGCTCTCTCTCTCTCTCTCTCTCTCTCTCTCTCTCTCTCTCTCTCTCTCTCTCTCTCTCTCTCTCCTCCCTCCCTCCCTCCCTCCCTCCTTCCCTCCCTCCTCCCCCTCTCTCTCTCCTCTCCTTCTGTCTTCCTCTCTCAGCTATCTTGATGGTTGAAATAGTCAAATAGGAGAAAGTGTGGGAAAGTATAGGCTGAGTTCTCTGTGTCCCAGCAGCTGCTCCCAAATAACCACACTGAGACTTACAATACGAGTGCTTGGCCAATGGCGCGGGCTTGTGTTTAGCTAGCTCCCGTAACTTAAATTAACCCATTTCCATCCATCTGTGTGCTGCCCCAGGGCTCATTTGCTTCATCTATGCACTTCCCATCCTGCTTGCTCCGCATCTCATGGCATTTCATCCAGTTCCTGAGACTCCTCCCTTCTTCTTCCCAGGGTCCTCCTAGGCTGTCTCTCCTGCTCAATCTCTTCCTGTCCAGCTATAAGCCAGTCAGCTCTTTATTAACCAATGAGAGTAATGCATGTTTACAGTGTACAAAGATTGTTCTACAGCAAAGCTTTGGAAACATATACTGAAGAAGACACTGGCATGCCCAGAGTAGGCTGCCAGCAGGGTCAACAGTGAAGCATTCACTCCCGTCCCTGGTAACCTGCACACACTCTCGTCCCGTCTTGATGCTCCACTGTCCACTGCCAGATTTACATGTTACACGTTTCTGGAAATGGCCAGCCTTCCCCAGAACCTCTGATCTGTATCTATCAGGCTGTGCAACCATGAATAACTGCTGAACAGCAGCCCTGTTTTAGCTTCCTTGAATTCCCAGAATCTAGCCCGAGAACACTATAGGTGCTAAAAATTATGCCATTCGTGGGCTGAGAAAACAAGTGCAAGAAGTGACCATAGAATAGAGTGGTGGGGCTGGAGATGATCAGTGGCTAAGAGCATGCCCTTGCAGAGGACCTGGGTTAGGTTCTCAGCACTCATGTTGGGCAGCTCACAACTGCCTGCAGCTCAAGCTCCTAGGGATCTGATGCCCTCTTCTGGCCTGTGTGGGCACCTGCCCTCGTGTTTAATATCCGCACACACAACACATACACATAATTTAAAAAATAAATCTTAAGAAAGAGATATATGGGGTTTCTTTTTAAAAAAATAACAAAGAAGTAGACTGGAGTTGCAAGAGTTCGTAGATGCTATTTGACTGAAACTGGAATGTATTTTATGGAAATTTGTTTATTATTATTAATATATGAAAATTAGCTTGCAAATAAATGTCAGGATGCCTGGCTTTACTCCAGGGAGTGAGGATTTGTCAGTTGGCACTCCTCTGAGGTGAAGTCATTGGGTAAAAACATAGAGCAATTGAAGTGCATTTACTAGCATTAATCATCTTCTCACTGTTCAAGGGGAGAGGGAAGGAGTGCTGACTGAATATTAACACTATGACGTTAAAAATGCCTCCTTGCTGTCTCAGCCATTTTCTAGCAAAGCTGAGCAGCCCCTGCAAACAAGGTCACTTGTCCATGGTTGCAAGGGCTCAGGCCGGTTTCACTGTGCTTTTTATCAAAACACCTCCAGTCATGCAGAAAGAGGCCTTGAACTCGCCTTCCAGAGCTCCTGCAGCCATGGAGACTATGAAGCACCTCCCCAAGGCCCCCGCTCCTGCTGCTCACTTCTATGCTCTGGCCTTGCCAGATGTCTGGACATTTAAGAGTTGTGCTCCACGGGGTCACTGTCACAAAGAAGGTCAGCTCATGCTGGAATTCAGCTCTAGAAGGTTTGAAAGGCTGAACTTGATTGTGCACACCCATAATCCCAACATACAAGAAAGCTGTGCAAGGTGCATCACAGAGTTTGAGGCCAACAAGTCTTACATAGTGAGCCTGTGTGCCAAAAATCCAAAATGTGAAAAGTTCTGGAGATTTCATTTTTAATTTTGCAGATTTTGGAAGAAGAAAACTTTGTAAGTCATGTTCTCCCACCTTTCTCTGTTATATCCCTTTCATTTTCCTGAGAGCAGAGGTTATAGCATGACTTTTCCTTCCTGCCATTATGCCAGTCATCACCTGGTTCCCAGACCTTTGAAGAAACACAATGTACCTTATGTGCATGCATAAGACAGTGGGCTCATGTCAAATTCAGGCTGGAGGTTTGTGAATCATGGGGAAATCTGGCCAGGGTTGGGAGCATAAGGAACAGATGGTGTCTTGAGTCAATTGCCAGCAGTTTCTGAAGATAGACCCCTGCCTAAAGGGTATGTAAGGTTGATGCTCATGGGGTAAAGGCTGTGATTCCTGTGGTAACCTTCATCTGATCAACTTTTCTTGCAGGATCCCCTCCGTGCTCGGGGAGGAGCTGCCCGCCTGTGGCCAGCACTACTGGGAAACCACGGTCACAGACTGCCCGGCCTATCGACTTGGCATCTGCTCCAGCTCAGCTGTGAGGGCTGGTGCCGTGGGACAAGGGGAGACCTCATGGTACATGCACTGCTCTGAGCCACAGAGGTAAGCTTTCCCAACACAATCTGAGGATCATTTACAGTGTCTAGGCAGGGACCTAATGAGGAGCTTGTCACATCCTTGCCCAGTTTCCAAACTAAGTAAGACAGTGAACACAAAGGGTGTGGCAGTTTAACATCATTCCGGTTACCACAGAAACTAGACAAGAGGGCGGCTTATATTCAACCTCATGACCATGCAGAAGACTCAGCCATCCACGGAGGGGTCAACCTGTCTGCTCTGTGGGGCTCAGCTTGTCCCTGGAGAGGCAGAGAAGAATGTTTTATCCCCTCACCAGCCAAGACGAAGAGATAGGAGAAGGAAGAATCTGGCAGTTTTCTCTTCTAAACTCATCCCTAGTGGAAAGAAGTACCACAGTGATGTTCAAAGGCTCCCTCTACAGAGAAGGAACTGGCAGGAGTGAGAGAGGTTGTTCCCCTGCTCTCTGTCCAGTATTGACTTATAGCAGAAACTGACAAATTATTGCACATAGACAAAACCTGACCTATGCTCACTTTTTGTAAATAAAGTTTTATTAGAAAGCAGTCATGTTCATGTGTTTATGTATTGTCTATGGCTGCATTTGCACCAATGTGGCAAACTGGAGAGAGACTGAGTAGCTATCACATGCCCAGATAATTTTTCCTGTCTCCTTATAGATAAGTTTACCAAACCCTAGTCTCTGTTAGTCTCCAGGGCTCAGGCAAACTTGCTGTCATGGCAGGATGGTCTGATTTTCATCCTGGCTTGGCCCTTGATTCTGCCTCCTATTGGTTACTCTCCCCAAGTTCGTTAACCCTTTGGTCAATTCTTTATGCATTTAGTCTATCCCAGAAGGCCTTGTTTGCCAGTCATTGACATAGGCTTAGTAAGGTTGAGGCCTGGCCTGCTACCTTTTTGGGGTTGTAGGATCACATCAAATTAAACACAAGGAAGAGCTTTGGCACTGTAATATATCACCCAAGTGTCAGGCATTATTCCAATGCAAGACTTTGAGAAGGAAGCTGTCCTTCGGTACTGCTGCTTGTAAGTTCTCAGAAAAGGCACCCAGACTGGGATTTTACATATCTTCAGCTGCACATCTTTCCCTGCATTTTACTTGACAGTTTGACTCTCTGAGATGGTTCACAAGGATGCCGTCTCCGAGTGCTATTTAAAGTCACATTTCATCAAGTCAGAGCAATTATGATTAATTGATATTCAATGCTGTGCTGTGCTGAAGGGTTCAGCCCCTGCCCAGAGTTTAAAATCATTTAAACCTAGAGTTTACAGTTAGCAAATTATAGGAACCCAACATAGGTATTAATTTCATTAAAAAAACAACTCTTTACAGGTTTCCATGATTCAGTGGATGAAAGTGCTTGCTGAGCAAGCCCAAGGACCCAAGTTCCATCTCCTGAAGGAGAGAGCCATTGCCAAAAGTTCTGTTCTGCCTCCCGTGTGTGTGTGTGTGTGTGTGTGTGTGTGTGTGTGTGTGTGTGTGTGTGTGTGTGTTTGAGACATGGTTTCTCTGTGTAGCTTTGTAGCCTATCCTGGAACTCCCTCTATAGACCAGGCTGGCCTCGAACTCACAGAGATCTTGCCTCTGCCTCCCAAGTGCTTGGATTAAAGGTGTGCGCCACCAATGCCAGGCTACTGGTGATGATCCTCTACACACTTGAGAACACAAACCAAAGGCTAGCCCCCAACTCTCCAATCACAAATTTCCAGTACTGACTTTGTAGGAAACACAACTGTATATTCTGGGGACAAGGTCTTCCTGTAACTTTGGTCACTGGTTCTTTCGGGCCCAGTGTGGGCTTCTGGGAGGCAAGTAGACCTACCTTTGTGGTTGTGGCACAGGGACGGTTCCACACGAACCCGTAGGATTCTGGGAGAGTGGCGCAGCAAGCCTTCCTGTGGGTCTCAGTTTTCTAGTTCACTGACTTTAAACCAGCTCTGTGGCTCTTGATTGAACCCAAGTGTGAAGATGGCCTTGGGAGACACCAGTGGTTCCATTCTTAACTTTGCTGTACTGGTTCAAGGCCCTTCACGTCCGGTCTCACCCTAGCCATGCCGTCTGTGCCTATGTGGCCCTGCCTGCCCCATTATTTCACTGTATCCCTCTATTTTCTTCTACAGTCAAGCCACAGATATCTCTAGTGGCATCAGAGCTCGGGGTGGAGGGGCACTTACAGGACACAGTGAAGAAAGGAAACCAGGAAGTAGTGACCAGGCTAAGGGAGGAGGGAAGTGTCTCCAGCATAAAAAGGGGTCTGGCTGAACCTGGGTCAGCTTTGTTCAGGGTGATAGAAGCCCCAGGGCAGGCAGTTTGAGAGCCATAGTCATTATCCAGCTTATGGATGATTCTTATTTGAGTATTGAGTATTGAGTATTGAGTATTGATTCTTATTTGAGCAGTCCCAGACTGGAGGAGGCAAATGGGGGTGGGGTGGGATCCTCCCCAAGCAAGACCAAAGGAAACCAACTCTAACAGAGGAATGCTTCTTTTTAGCTCAGAGTCTCTTTCCCCAGTCACTTTGGCTTTTCCCAGTTGCTTTGGGCCAGCGACAGCACACTAGACCGTGGCAGTGACAACTCATGGCAGAGGTAGACTGCCTCATCAAGGCTGGCGTGCAGAAAGAAGAGGAAGAGATCATGGTCTCACTACCCCTTCAAAGGGCTTCCCCAGTGGCCCGTCTTCCATGAAATCCCAGACCCTAGAGAATCCACCAGGGTCGTAGCCCAGGCTGGTGACCATGACTGTAGCACAGAGGCCCAAAGGGACAGGGTCTGTGACAATCATCTGTGTCCTCACTTAAGAGCAAAACGAGGGACTGGTGTGCTAGGAAGGAAACAGCAGGAGTAGGAATTGCTCCATGCCCTGTGGGACTGATGGAGTCAAGATTCTAAAAGATGTCTTTTTCTCTTGCCCCCATGATGGGGATTGCCTGGGGCTGACCTTCTGGGAATAGGGACTTTCTAAGCCACAGGTAAAGGGCATCAGTTCACTGGGTCATTCAGAACCTTCTAGACCAGTGGTTCTCAACATGTGGGTCCCAACCCCTGGGGGAGGGGCAACAACCCTTTCACAGGGTCACCTAAGACTATTAGAAAACAGATAACTTTACGGTTCGTGAAGCAGCAAAATTACAGTTATGAAGTAGCAATGAAAATCATGTTATGGTTGGGTGTCACCATAACATGAGGAACTGTATTAAAGGGTCGCAGCATTAGGAAGGCTGAGAGCCACTGCTCTAGACCTGTATTGTACAATAGTACCTTCTTCAATAATAGAAAAATGGTGTCACAGCTATTCTTGAACTGTGTCAGGTAAGGCTGAAAATCTGGATTTTATACATTGTTAAATGTTCAAGTGGACAGATGTGGTTAGTGGCTACTGTCCCTATTTGGGACTGCTGGTCTCTATGCAAGCAAGTCACCCAGAGTTCCAATTCTTAATACCCATGGGATCCTGGAACTGCCTGGCCTAGGGTCTCTGCCACCATGAATGTACGACTCAGACCTATTGTCAGTGGCCGGTGGCCTCTCCAACTGCCCGGCGGATGGTGACTGCTCTCTCCACCTCCACGCCCATTCTGCTGCCTCCTCCTTCTCAGGCTGCTCCATCTGCCTTCTCTGCCCTCCCCCACCCACTCCTGTCCTGCCCATTCCTGATGGCCTAGTGAGAGCTTGTCTGCCCCACACCCCCAGAGGGGCTAGAGAGAAACAAGGTGCACAGACTCGCCTGTTCAACACGTGGGTATGTGTCTATTGGAGAGTGACTCCAAAGCACCCTCTGGCTGCTGAAAACTTAGAGATAAAAGGGGGAAATCGGTCTGGGCATGGGGGTGGGGGCACAGCGGTGCTTATTCAAAACTTGAAGTTGGCAAAAACTAGTGGCATTGCTCTTGAACTTCACAAAGGCCCTTATGTAAGTTACCTATAAATCTTTAAAAATGTAAAATGAATGCGTTGTATGGAAGGCAAGCCCACAGTACTGTTTAAATACACGGCAGCCAAAGGAGTTTATTCAAGAGAATGACACACCATGAATACGGCAGTTGAAACATGTGGGCAGCTGGGAAAGAATTAGAATGTGGAGAAAAATCACAGGGGAGGCACATGCTGGTTATTCTGGGACTGCCCCCTAGTACGGAAGGAGCGGAATGATTGAAACACACCTCTGCTGGATGAGCTATTATGCATTTGAGCATCTAGAGGGCCTACAGCAAATGTACTTAGGGCGATGTTATTGCAGCTCATCACTGGGAACCAGACTGACAAAGTGAGACCTTGATTGTTTCCAAGTGGTTTTTCTTCTCAAATCTTAAGGACTTCCAGAGATTTTATAAATTGGATCTCTCATTCTGTTTCATTTCAGGTACACGTTTTTCTACAGTGGTCTTGTGAGCGAGGTGCACGCGACTGAGCGTCCAGCCAGAGTGGGCATTCTGCTGGACTACCCCAACCAGAGACTCCTATTCATAAATGCCGAGAGTGGACAGCTGCTCTTCATCGTGAGGCATAGATTCAGCGAGGGCGTACATCCTGCCTTCGCTCTGGAGAAGCCTGGGAAATGTACTCTGCATCTGGGCTTAGAGCCCCCAGATTCTGTCAGGCACAAGTGATGCTGACCATTCAGAGTTTGTAAGAATTCAAGTTCGGGGTGGAGAGCTGCCATTCTCTCTCTCTCTCAGGTGCTGTGTGTTACTCAGATGGTCTCCCACACACCTGCATTACCGATAGCTGGGGGTGCCATGGTCAGCACGTGAGGACAGCCAGGGACCCCATGACCTTATGGAGCAGTGTGTGAGCGAGAAAGGGCAAACTCAGCCTCCACCCTTTGGTTCACAGTTGGAGTTGTGTCTTAAATTCAAAGGACTTATACTTGACCTGGGAACCAAAACCAGAGAAATGGATTTCTGCCGGTTATTGGACAAGCAATCCCCAGGAACCAGATCAGAGAGGAGGGGAGGTTTTGTTAGTGGCACATCTTGTGTGACTTCTTCCACAAGAAAAATGTCACCTTACTTCACTCAAGGAAAATGAGTCCTAGTCATTAGAGAAAATATTTTAGCTGATCTAAATTTACAATGAAATCTTTTCTTATCATGTATGCTGTAGAATGTAAACCCCACTTCTCTGAAAATTTAAATGTAGAAAAGCACTAGACATCAGAAATTTCCATTTTGTTAAATAAATGGCTAGAATCTTATAGAATAAAATCTATTGTGTGAACTTATTGCACAGAACTTAGTCCAGCATCTCTGGACCAGGGCACAGTGGAGAGAAAATTCCTGTCACATTTCAGGGGGACAATGCTACTATTGGTTCTCATTAGGCAGTTTGGCACACAGAATTTTTTAAAATAAAAATGCTCTCACTCTATGGAGCCTGTACAGTTGTCCATTAAGTCAGCCATCAGGAGTTATGCATTTCTTTTTATGAAAAAATATGCTTGATTATTTTTAGATATTATACTGAAAGTTCGTAAAGTATGTGTGCAAAATTGCTGGATCTTGAAGGCACACAGAGCTCACTGGTCCTGCTCTCCATGATGGGAATGCTTAATTATATTTAAGGTTTTCTTTTAATACTATACACTCAGTTATTTTAACTCCCTCCCTCCCTTCCTCCTTCCTTTCTTTAGAAAAAAAATGTCCTGGCTAGCTTAGAATTCACTCTGTAGACCAGGCTAGCCTCGTACTCAGAGCTCGCCTGCCTCTGCCTTAAGAGTGCTGGCATTAGAAGTGTGTGCCTCCATGGTTGGTGGCTCAGTTATCATCTTGACTGGAGAAATAACATTTTCCCTTTTTTCTGATACATCCTAAAGTATGTTTTCAATAGCTAGAAAATCCAGCTTGGACTTGTGCTTGTCCTGTAGAGCCCCTTGGAAGCCTTCATCACCTCATTGTCTTGGTTCTTGGTGAAATGGGAGGGATAGCCTGCTGCCTGTGGTGAATGTAATCTTCACCTTTTCAAAACTTGAAAATGTTTGTCTTGGGTTCTGACTGGAGAGCCACCATGTGTATTTTCACTTTTTTTAAATCTGTTTTTTTCAATTTAAACTAGAAACAAGCTTGCTTCACATGTCAATCCCAGCTCCCTCTCACTCCCCTCCTCCCCAGTCCCCCCAGCCCCCCCACCTAATCCCAACTTCACTCTCCAGGGAGGGTGAGGCCCTTCGTGGGGATCTCCAAAGTCTGTCATATCGTCCCAGGGCAAGGGCTAGGCCCTCCCCCACGTGTCCAGGCTGAGAGAATATCCCTCCATGTGGTATGGGCTTCCAAAGTCCATTTGGATACCAGGGATAAATACTGATCTATTGCCTGAGGCCCCAAGAATGCTGAGGCCTCCTCACTGACACCCAGATTCAGGGGGTCTGGATTGGTTCCATGCTGGCCCCTCAGCCATCAGTTTGGGGTCCATGAGCTCCCCCTTGTTCAGCTCAGCTGTTTCTATGGGTTTCACCAGCCAGGTCTTGACCCTTTGCTCATCACTCCTCTCTCTCTGCAACTGGGTTCCAGGAGTTCAGTTCAGTGTTTAGCTGTGGGTGTCTGCCTCTGCTTCCATCAGCCACTGAATGAAGGCTCTAAGATGGCATACAATGTAGTCATTAGTCACATTATCGGGAAGGGCATTTAAGGTAGCCTCTCTACTATTGATTAGATTGCCAGTTGGTGGACATCTCATTAGTGCCGCATCTCTCCTCAAACCTATAGTGGCCCCATTTTTTCTATGAGGACATAATGTAGCTTAGAGACAATACCAGTATAAGCAGTCACATGGACTTTAAGATTTGTCTGTTTGGGTTCCTTCACATGTAGACCTAAAACCCAGCATCGCCTGTTCATATAGCAGGTAGTTCCAGGAAGGGCAGTCAAGAAACTGCAGAAAGAGGGATGAGATCTCCAATGGACAATGATCTGGGGCACTTGGGTGGCAGGTCCCTCTAGGAGCCACATGAAACACAGCAGTGGGCATGTAACAAACTTCAATGGGTAGGAGGTTTCCTGAAGGGAGCTTCATACATGAAAACATACGCTACTTCTGACATGCATGACAGTTCATCTTAGCAAAAATGTAATTAGTAAAGGAGTTTGTGAGAGAAGAGTAAAGAGGAATAATGCTGTGGTTTCTTTCTCTCTTTCTATGATGCTCGTGTGTGGTGTGTGGTGTGTGTGGTGTGTGGTGTGTGTGTGTGTGTGTGTTCATATGTACACTTAGCAACACTGAGTGGGATATTCTTCATCAAAACTAGAGTAGAGTGGAACATGGTCCTATTGTTTTTCTGGGGGTATTTCCCTAGAGTCCAGAAAAGCTGAAGTATTGTCACCCCTAAATCCACAAACCAACATAATGCTTTAAAGACCAGACAGCATTGCTTTAAACGCGCAGCGTTCTTGAGATCTCACAGGTTTCTGAAATCCCTTCTGAGCCCACTGCATTCACTACCCACGAATCAACACGTGTCCAGCTGCTGAGGGAACTCTCAAGCCCCCAACTGTTCACTCATGGGGCAGTTCGTTTCTGGTAAAGGTGCATGCATATATTATAGCCATATCGAGGAAAGCTCGGCATCACAGGGGTCATGACAGCCTATAAGAATGTTTATTCCCCCACTGTTGGCTTCCGTGGCTTTCATATTGTCTCCAGGCTTAAATCATCACCACCAAGGAGCTCAGATCTTGTTTGTGGTGGTGATGATGGTTTGTGGTGAGACTCTAGCTATGCAACTAGCCCTAACCTTTGAAATTCATCTCTCTCAGCCTCCTGTGCTCTACCAAAACCAAGTGCAAATTATATATCCAATGATCATTACTCAGTCATGCTGACAGACCATGACACTGCTTTCTGAAATGACCAGTGGTTACAAGATTGTAGAAAGTCACTTGTTTTCAGATGTTAGGATCCACGGCATTGCCCAAGTATCAGTAGCTCTGCAGAGATGCATGTGTTTAATTAAGAGTGGCTGAGCTTCTGCTAGAAATGTATGATACTGTAGCCCTGAGTCCAGCTGCCGGAGTGCTTCAATAATGCTGTTATTAAGATCAACATAAGGGCACAGCGGTTAGTGAGCTTGCTGCTGAATCTGATGTCCTGGGTTTGCTCCTCAGAGGACCAATGAAAACCAACCCAAACAAGTTGTCCTCTGATATCCAGGCATGTGGCAGGTGTGGTGTGCTTGTGCTCACACAGACACATCCTCCCCAATATAACCCCTAGTGTACATGTGCGTGAATGCACTAGAAAAAAAGTCACCTAAATGGCAACAAACCCAACAGACTCTTGCTGCGGGTTCTAGATCCATGACTGGAAACTGCTCCAGGGTATGGGATGTCACTCCACAGAGATGCCGGAGCCTATCATGGCATCCAGTGGGAAAGCCAAGAAGGCACGAATGCAGACCCCATCTCATTTCTCTGCACACTTGTTATAATGTAATACATTGGGTTAATACACTTGATAAGAGGGCTTCTATGTGAAGTCCGAAACGGATAGCATCCTTTCAATGCTGTGACTCAGGGTGATCCAGGAGGCTCTGTTCTCCCCGTCTTTAGAGGACCCATTGCTTTCTATCCAGATTCAGATACTACACTGACCACACCGTGTTCTGCCTCCTAGCCCAAGTTTCTAGATTTCCTGACCATGGTTACATTTTACTCTGATTCTTCCTCTGCTGTCGGATTTCTCCTTCCTCACCTCCGGCCACTTCACCACCTCGTTTTTCCTAGGCCTATTTGGTCAGTATTGTCCCCAGGCATGGGCATGGTGTCTTTGAGTGTCTCACAGGACACTAACACAAGGCTGTGGCTGGCATGGCTTGGGTGAAGACTTGGGGGTATGTCTGGGCTTTCTGGCTCACGCCTTTAATCCTAGCACTCAGGAGGCAGAGGCAGATGGATCTCTGTGAGTCCAAGGCCCACATGAACTACATAGTGAGTTCCAGGACAGCCAGAGAGACCCTATGTCAAAAACAAAAGCAGAAAAAAAAGACTTGGGGCCAGTAGGGGACATTTTTAAAGAGCACAGAGCATGCAGCTGAGTGTGAAGTACTACCTTTGTCCTAGTCCTTCTGACCTTGTCTTCAGCTGTGTCCCTGCTGCAGCAAACAGACTCGCCCCCTCTGCTTGACTTCCTTCTTTACACTTCTAGCTTCTGCTCCCTTGAGTTTCTTTTTTAGGGCAGACAGTGGAACTAGAAAACATCAAAACGTGCAAACCTCTCACTAGAATAGACATCTTTTATGATGGTCTGAGAGCAAAATATGCCTTCTTTCTTTCTGCCTCTCTCAGCTCGCACAAGTCCTGGGCCGCTCAGAACTAAAAGGTGTATTAGAGCTATTCCTCACACTCAAGGACATTCTTCTCCCCGAGATGGATCTGGCCGTTACCTCTTCGAATGGTTTAGAATTCCTCTCACACCTCCGTTAGTGGTTTTTCACAGAGCCAGTGATTGACTACAAAGATCTGTTCTTAGCCCAAGTGGACCTCCCAGGCTGTGTTGAGCTTCCACAATACTATGAAGGACTTCACTCCTTGGCAGACATCAAAGAGAAGTGGCAGCCTGCATGGCTCTGTGCAGCTTCAGGGATTGCCATATCGGGTGAGGAGGAGATGAGGAAACGAAGAAAGAAAGGACACACTGAGACATGAGCAAAGCTTTCATCTCACGGGCTGTGCTCTCTCTGGTGAAGGACACCAACCACAACAGCAGCCCGAGCCTTAGCCTGTTCATCTAATACATCAGAATCGAGGAGGCGGGCTTATTGTACATGGTTGAATGAGGACGCAGGTTTAGGAAGTCTCTGTAGGCGAATGGTTACCGGGAGGAGACAATCATGGCTGCTAAGTTGCACATACACTGCCAGCATTGGTACTTGGACCAGAGGAAGGTTCTGCCATTCCTCTGAGTCTCAGAGCCTCACCCAGGGAAGGCTTCTCCACTCCCACAATCTGAAGCAGTGGGGTCCTTGACATGGCTGTGTTCATGTCAACAAAACACATTCACTCAGTATTTCATCTGCTCCTTACATGTTCACTCAAGGCTTTCTTCACAGCCTGCAAGAGCCAACATGTTATTTAGGTATTTAAAAACGTGAGGGGAAGTGTGTGAAGTAACTACAAAAGGGGAAAACAGGAAATGGCAAAGGAAAGCCACAGTTAACTCAATCCATTTATTGATGCTTATTGTGGTGGTGGGGGGATGGGAATCACTACACCAG